ATGTTTTCTTCTCTCAATCGGCGTTCACAACTTCGTGTTAGTGAAATGAAGTGACATCAGAAGTTTCCATAATTCGACGCAGTAAATGTTGATCAGTGAGAGAATTTTCATAAATGCTGTAGTAGGGAATCAGTTAATCCGTTACAATGGACTGGTGCTTGGTTAAGGATCTGACAGATTCCACGCATTGATGTGGCATTTTGTGGAAAGACGACTGTAGGGTGTCAATAAAAACATTGCATTTGATAAGCAGGAGTCGTGGATGCACACTGACTCTAAGTCCCATACCACCATGAAGTGGCCGTTTCTAATGGTGTTATAGAATTGATTGATTCATGATTTCAAAGTAATCAAGAAACACAATCTGTTGTTCCTATCGACGGACTGTGATTCAGGAAAACGACAGTCAAGAAACTTTCTTTAGTGAGGCCACGATCACAGTCAAAATGAATTCACTATCAACACATGATTGTTTACGGTGATTTAGATCAGCAAGTTTCCACGTTAACCAACACAATCTCCTATTCTGTTACAAAACGTGAAAACTCAATCAACGATGACGTCATCTCCGAAACTACGAGACTGGAATTCAACTTATTCACGTTATTTTCATACACATTTCAGGTGAAAGAATTCTTGTGAAGATCTATTGACCCGAAAATGATGAAGAATCAGGTTGCCGAATTTTAAAAATTAACGCTAAACATATTTGCTGTGATTATTTTTCAAATAGATTATTCAGTGACTGATTATGTAGAACAGACTGATTTACAAATGAACGGAAAAGTCTTTCGGAGAAATCTTTAAATACTGATAATAATATTTATGATAACTAAAAAAAGGTTCAATCTATACATACAAATACTATTAGTTATTAACTACATATGGAACGACCGGTGTCACACAAATCTGCTTACCCTCGACCGTTTTCTTTTTTCTTGGTTTGACTGGATGACAAGATCTCCACACTCTTCTGGATCACGAAATACAGTGGAGAGCATGGATGCAACTAGAAGACTTGGACTTCGCAGATGACTGGACTCGTCTATCCGGTACACAGCAACAAGTGAAGGTCAAGATCATCAGTATAGGTGCAGTCTCGGGAATATTATTTTTCAACATCTAAAAGACACAAAGTAAGATCAATAAATACAACACAACATGCACCAACGAAACCACACAAAATGGACAAGCTCTGAATGAACTGGAAACCCTTGTGTTCTTCATCAGTATCAATGACAAACAAGGTGTATCTAATGCAGATGTGAAGACTCTGATTGGTAAAGCGATGACAGCATTTCTACAACTGGAGAATATCTGGAACTTAAAACAACTGCGATCAAACACCAAAGTCAGAATTTTCAATACAACCGTCAAGACAGTTCTATTATAAGGAGCGGAATCTTGGAGAACTATGGAAGCTATCTTTCAAAAATACCTGTATCTACAAACAGTTGTCTATACAAGATACTTTGGATCCGTTGACCAGACATCATCAACAAAAGTCGACTGTGGGAGAGATCAAAAGAGGCTCCATCTGAAAAGGAAATCAGGTGTATACTAGATGGAAAATATCATTGAGACATAGAATATGGAGGATTTGTTCAGTGAAGAATTTTTGTTTCGGCTAATCCATTATCCCAGCTGTGCAACCACAATCATCTACATAGAAATAAAACAGTTAGTGGTAAAGGATCTATCGAGAAGATAGAAGGGAGGCAGATGGCTGTGAGAGAAGAAACAAGAAGTTTTAGTTTGATTTCTATCATAAATTAAGACTACGACAGA